AAAAAAAAAAAAAAAAAGAATCATTAATATTCACCACATCATCATTAGGAGGCTGGAGTTAGATAATACAGAAAATGGCAAGCATATACTTGATACTCAAAAAATTTTAGTGGAAAGGAAGGAGGGGATAGAGACGGAGGAGAAAAGGAAAGGAAGGAAGGAAATAGGGAAGAAAAAGAAAGGGGAAGACTCCCTATTAATTGGAGTGTTAACTTTTATATTTCCTTCATCTTTCTTCTGTGGCAGAAGAGCTTAATAAGGAACATAAATGCCTGCAGGAGGCATTGTTGTGTGAGCTAGCATGTGTCCAACTGAAATTAGATTAAAAAGTCAACAGGAATGCCAGGCATGGTGGCGCATGCCTGTAATCCCAGCACTCGGGAGGCTGAGGCAGGAGGATCGCTGTGAGTTCGAGACCAGCCTGGGCTACATAGTTAGTTCCAGGTCAGTCTCAACTACATAGTGAGACCCTGACTCAAAAAACAAAAAACAAACAAAACCAAACAAAAAACCCCCAAAACAATACAAGCCCAAAGCACTGGGGCCAGTCATGAACTGAAATCTCCAAAAGAATGAGCCAAAATAAGGTCTTTATGTGTTATCTCCGATATTCTTTACACTGGTTGAACGCTGACTAACATGCCCAGAGATAGGGATTTAAATTGTTTGTTATCTACTGCTGTGTACCAAATGCAGTGGCATAAAATAGTAATAATAATTTATTATCTTACACGGTATCTCTAGATTAGGAATTCCAGGGTTGCTTGCTGGATGGTTCTGGCTCAGAGTCTTTCAGGAAGATGTAATCAGATATCATCTGGAACTGGGGCCCTCTAAAGGCTTGGCTGGAAAGGAAGGAGCCATTTCCAAGGTGAATCAGTTACTCACATGGCTGGAAAGCCGGTACTGGCTTTTGATAAAGGCCCTCAGCTGCTTTCTACAGGGCTGCTTGGGTTTTCCCATACCTGGGTTCTGGCTTCCCTCAACGGGGTCAGTCCAAGAGATTGAAGCAGAAACAGCAGTTCCTTTATGAACTTGCTTTGGAAGTCATACATCATTACTTCAGCCATATTTTTATTGGTCACATGGGCCAGCCATGGTTCAGTGTGGGAGGGTACTTACCAGGACATAAATATCAAAAGGCAAGATCTTGGAAACCGTCTTAGTAGCTGGCTACAACATCATTCTAACATTTGTCCATCCAACCACCCGTAGTAATTGGCTCAAGACTAAATACATGATTACAGGTCTCTCCAAAGATACCCA